TGATAGTAACTTTACTGTTTATTCAGATTTTATTACAATTAACTTTTTTTTTAACAACTACATTTCCTCTAAAAAAAGGTCTTTGTATTTTCTATTGTTTACATTTTTTTAAAGATTTTTCTCTTTTCTTTTGCATAATTATCCCCTTTTAAATCATACAGATTTCCTACAGATCTTCTGGGGCTAATTTATCCGAAGTTTCGTGTTTTAAACACTTAATTAATTTACATTTAAATAGAAAAACATGGAGTAGAATAAAGACTAAAGCAAAGAGACATATTTTTCCGTTTTACTTTTCAAAAGTGGAAAAGTAGTCCCACAAAACCTTTCTAAAACGTTTTATAATATATATCTAAATGATCGCACCGCTGTTTGGAAAGTAATTAAGCAAGTAAGATAAAACACCCGTTATTTTTGCGTTATAATAAAGTTCTTACTTTACTGTCTCCTCCGTCCATTCTCCGTCTTTTTCTCTTTAAAAAACGTCAAGTTAGATAATAATAATAAAAAAAAAACACTAACATAAATTATCCCACAATAACACGGTTAAAACGTTAGTAAAAACAAAGCAGTGTGTTTGTTTACGCCGCAGCGAGCCGCCGTTACTCAGCCGGAAGTTGTGACCGACATGCAGGATTTCAAAGTAAAAGTCGAACAAAACAAAGCTCCGCGGGAAACGCCTAGATGTAGTCACTGGCTTCTTCTTTTTGTTACTCATGTACATTTTAATATTTCATAAAATCAACGATAAGATCTCCTTTGTGTGTAGAAAGGAAGTATCGGACTGTTTTATTTTATTTTTAAGCTGCGTTCAACCTCTACCTTCATACGTCATCACGCGACGGAAGCGCACATAGATGACGCTAACTCAATCCAGGACTACATCTTTTTCTGAATAAGAACTACAAAAAACAAAACTCTAGTTTTGCTAGTGCAGCGAGCGGTTAAAGCTTATACATTTTAGTGTAAAAACAAAAGCAAACATATGAAGGTGCGTGAATTTTATGAATTTACATGTTTAAAGTCTGAGTTGCTGCATGTTTTGGTGCATCTCTGCTTTACTTCATTCACATTGTGTGGCTTCTGTTGAACTGCTATCATTTCATATATTCTGGATACCCTCTTGCTGTAGTAGTAGTACTACTGGGGTCACTTCCCATCTAAATGATGCTAACCTTTTAAAATAATAAAATACATGCAGGGATGGATCCCATTGTTGCTGCTTGTGTCTCTGTTGTGAGGAGCAACCATCAGATCATCAGGAGGAGGGCTCGGATGAGGAGGCTGTTAGCCATGTGCTCCCAGATTGTGAGTATTTGGCTACAATGGATCATATTTCAATAATAAAATGTAAACATCTAATGTAGTGTTAAAACCACTGCCTAAAGTTCATGGGCGGTTCTAGAGGGGGGCCAGCGCCCCTGGTGAACTGGTCCAGGCCCCTGATCTGAAAGCATAAACTAAAAAAAATAATTAAATACATTTTTTTTTTCTCAGAAAAAGTGCATATTCCCTCGATTTGAGCGGATTTTAATTTAGATTTAAATTTAAAATGATTAATGTTAGCTTAATGTCATGTCAAAAAAAAAATACAACTCTGTATGTCAAAGG